TCTGCAGGGCCTGAAAACCAGGCCTCTGGTGGCCCACTGCCCTGCCCAAAATAGCCCTGGGGTTAGCTCTCAAGCCTGACCAAATATAGTCTGGCCTGCCGGCCCGTCCCAACTGGTAGCACCAGCCAAGCACCTGCCAGGGGAGTGGGGAAAGTCAGGAGTTTGGCTGAGCAAGAAGGGAAGGACCCCTCCCTGGGTGATGACACAGCTTCTGGGGCTGGAGAGGACTCAGGGGTCTCCTAAGGCGGAGCCACCCCCTCCCCTGCCAGTGTTAGGGAACTCAAAGGGTTCACACTTGGGGTGTTCTATTCAAGAACTAGCTGAGCCGAGGTAGTCCTTAGGTAGTTTTATTTACTTGACAAACAAAGGAGACAGGGGATTCACGTTCAAAGCTGTCTCCCTGAAGGGAGGCTTAGCCATTGCTTACATACACTATTTGGTTAATTACATGTTCATTTCTTCTTTGTAAGTTAGCTAAACTTATCTGGTTATGGCTCAGGTCAAGCTCATCCAGTTATAACTGTGTTTGCAAAATACTGCATTTTAGCATTTAGCAATAGCATTTAGTAGAAACCACTCAGACCTGAGTCCCTTGTCCTATCTAACACCAAGGCTGCCTGGCACTCCTCCCTAGGACAGCTGGGAACAAAGGTCTTCCTCACATGGGCCTCATGCCACACCTGCGCCCAGGGCTGCCAGGAAGGGCAGGCATGCCTCCCTGCAAATCAGTGTTCCTTGGCCGACTGAGGACCCCCCTCAAAAAGAATGCTTTGCTGGATGTCCCATCCTGGGACAAGCAGACCAAGCTCTTCCACCAAGGCCAGACCTCTCCGGGAGGCCCAGTCCCACATGGGCCTTTTGAAATGGGAAGGTCATGGCCTGGGGGAAAGGTGGTTGGGGGAGGTCCAGCGTCCTCTTGCAGACAGTTCTGGGTGTGTCTGAGGGGTTCTCAGGGACAGCACCTGGGAGGTGGGGTGTGCCTCTCACAGCTCTGTCCTCCAGAGGGGCTGGGGGCTGGGGATGGGGGGGAGGGCCAGGGTTTCAGAGCAGACCCCAGAGGGTGGCCAGGAGTATGGGAGCCAGGGCCAGAGTCCCTGGGGTGGCGAGGCCAGCACCATTACAGAGGTCATACTGGCAGCAGACGGTGGTGGATGCGTGCTTAGAGTAACCATCATACACGGTCTCGAAGCAGCTGGGCACGCAGGACTTGCTCACCTTCATCTTGGTCGGGGTGTAGTCTGCAGAGGATGGGAGGCTGGCTGGGACCCCGAGAGGGGCTGGGACCCCAGGTCGGCCCAACCCCAGCATGCAAGGCCATTAGGGCAGGTTCCCCCTCAGCTGAGGGGGCTCCCAGAAAGGATCCTGGGGCCCGTGGGAGCCTCATCCCTCAGTCTCCCCCACATTTCCAAGGACCCCTGAGAGCCTCACCCCTCAGTCTCCCCAGGAAGGACAGTACGGACACCCCACTGACTCACAAGTGCGTGTGGTCATGCAGTAGGTGACCATGGATGGGCAGCGCATCGGGTTGAAGCAGTTCTCCCCATTGTAGGAGCACACGTGGCAGTCCAGGGCCTGGGCTGGGGGCCAGGGGTGGGGTGGAAGGAGGCTGGGGGTCACAGAACAGGGAGAGGCCCCTCCTCCAGCCTGTCAGGCCCCGGTCCCATCACCTTCCTCGGGGCAGAACAGCTAGAAGGAGAGGCGGTCAGCAGGAATTCCGGCCCCCCTCCCCACTTTCAGCCCGCCTGCCCCCAAACATGGGTCTGTCCATCCCGCCATTCTCCGCCCATCTTACCCAGAGGCAGGCCCACCAGAGCCACCAGGAGCAGGGCGAGCAGGGGCGCCATGGCTGGAGGCGAGGGCAGAGCGGGAGAGGGGAGGTGGGTGGCAGCTGCTCCTGGAGTCAACTCAGGCTGGGGCTGGAGCAGGACACAGAGGAGGTCAGACAACCCCCTGCCCTTCGGGAGCACCTGGTCTACTGGTGGCACTGCAACCCTGCACAGAGGGCCACGAGGACAGGTGAGTCCTGAAAGGCCCCCAGGGGGCCTGGGCTGGGGTGCCAGGGAGCAGAGGAGCTACCCAGCTCAGGCTGGGCGTCAGGGAAGGCTTCCTGGAGGAGAGGGTCATGAGATGAGATGAGAACAGAGCAGGGGTGGGACTCTGCAGCAAGAGAGACCAGTACCCACAAAACAGACAACCTGCGCAGACTGAAGGAGGCAGTGCCAACTGGGTGGACGGGGTCAAGAGGTGGCCGGGGAGGATGGCCAAAACCCACATTACCCAACAGATAGTTCCTGCAGGGGCCCTATGGGATCTCGGCGCACAGCCCCTCCTCACCCAGGGCCCTGCCTATAGGGTGACTGGCCAGGGCAGGGCTGGGCCCCATGGGTGGGTTTCTCCTCACTGCTCCCCATTCTCCTTTGCTCCTGGAGTGTCCCTGCGTAGGTCCCCCACTTCCAGCTACTTTCAAGGCCCAGCCAGGGACCATTCTTCCAGGAAGACCTCCAGAGTCCTGCCTGGGCTCTCAGGTCTGAGTCACGGCCATGGCCGGAACTCCTAGCAGCGGGGAGAAACCTCCAGCCTGTGGGGAGATGTGCTTAGAATGCATTCCGGGGGGCACTTGGCAAGACAGACAGCAGGATGAACCGGATGGAGAGACCCGCCTCTTGGAAGGGGCTGGGGGGATCTGGACCACGACTCCCCTCTCCCCGCGGGGATATTCGGGATCCAGGTCCCGGCCCCAGGGGACTAAGTCAGACTCCCCGCTTCCTAAGAACAATTCCATCTTTCGTGACCCATTTCCCGGGCGTCAGGCTCGGGATGCCTACGGCCTGAGTAAGGCCAGGCCGGCGTCACAGCGCTTCCCACCCGCTCCCAGAGAGCCCCGCTGAGCGGGTGGCCGGTGACCTTCCCCACATTGAGCCGCCGCTGGGCCCACGACTCACCGCGGCCGCGCTCTGGTCCCTGTCCGGGTCTGGAC